AATAAAAAAAATAAGGACTTCTTTTCATCAGTCAGAAGACACGTCCCAATTTCAGATATGTCAGAATGTAGGGGGGAAAGTGTATCTTATCATTGGTGACACGTGGTTTAAGTTCCAGGCTGCCCAGCGACCTAGAATCCAGAGATTGGCCGGAAGCTGCCGCAGCAGCAATGATACAATGAAAGTATCTCTGGTCCATGAGAGTTGAGTTGGAGGGAAGCAGGAATCACCTGGAAAGCGCAGAGAGCCATCAGTGTCCTGGGCGAGCCTCCCCTGCTGTCATGCTATACGGCAACGTGTCGTGGGGCGATCCATCACCAGCGCACTGATACGTGTTTATGACCCAGCTCTGTCATATAGCGCATCATGTATCATGTCCGAGAACAGAATTAAGCTGTTGGTAGGCAGGTGTTAGACACCCCATACATCACGGCTCATGAACATGTGCGTCATGTTGTGCATCATCCAGTTAGAGATTCGTTCTTGAGGTTTCTGACCCTTTGGGCATCCTAGAACCCAGTGGAACTTCTCATAAACATGCACATATGTATAAACACACAAACACAATCTCGGGCTGCCCCTTTTATTTATTTATTTTTATTTTTTTTTTTTTTAAGATTTTATTTATTTATTTGACAGAAAGAGTGAGAGAGCACAAGCAGGGGGAACAGTAGGGGGAGAGGGAGAAGCAGGCTCCCCGCCAAGCAGGGAGCCTGATGCGGGACTCGATCCCAGGACCCTGAGATCATGACCTGAGCTGAAGGCAGTCGCTTAACCAACTGAGCCACCCAGGCGAGGGCTGCCCCTTTTAAAGGAAAAGCTCTGGGACAGTGCTTTTCAAACTATCAGTGGTAATGGACTCTGTTTAATTTCAAATCTGTCACTGACCAGTGCTTTTGTAAAATGCAAATTCCCACGCTTGGGTGTGACGTGCAGCTCTGTCAGACGGCTAGAAAAGTCAGTGCTTACTCTCACTGCCTGTCCATATTTCTCTGCTGACTAGGAGCACACAATAGCCGTGAGCCAGGGCCCCCACTCCGAGGGGTGTATCTAGGGGAGACTCTGTGACTAAGCAGCGGAGTCTCTGAGTTGACATTCAGCACAGCAAATCCAGGCACATCGGACTGTATCAGTCATCTCAGCCCCCTACTCCGGCACACACAGTATCCACCCTCTCTGGAGCCATGACTCAAAAGACAGAATAGCCACATAGACTCACACCCAGAGATTTAAGACCTGAGACCATGGGACATAGAAGAGCCTATCCAAACAGCCTAGGGATGGCAGGAATGTCACCATCCTCCTATGAGTGGATAGGAGCATGGCTCAGGAGAGCGGGCATTATGCTTCTTCTTTAGCTTAAAAATTATCCTAATGCCTATTGTCTTACACTTAGGACACTAAGCCATGCAGGGTGGAAAGATGGCTTCTCAGGGTTGGAAGGGCACAGTTGCTTTCTCATCACACAATACTTGAAGCGGGGGCATCCTGGGATCCAGGATCAGTTAGGATCCAAGAATCAGTGGATGGAAGATCATTGGCCCTTTGCCTGTTATCTACTCTGGGGCCCTGAGGCTCAGAGGAGAAGCAGTGGGGAGACCGTGTGGGACGTGCTTTGAAGGGTCCAAAGGCATTGGTTTCATCAGAGTGTTAACAATCCGGTACACCAGCAACCTCATTTCTAGAACCTGCCTCTTCTCCCCTTCTGGAAAAGCCAAGATTCTGGGCAGTGAGGTGACAGTTTTAAGGAAAAAATAAAATGTAACATCAGTTATGAAAATCTAAAAAATCAAAGTCCAAGGTGAGAAAGCATAACAGATCCTGCTTATATAAGGACGACAAGCCTCTCAATGACGCCTAGGTTATATATATGTACAAATATTCTACCCAAATATGTCAGGACTTATTTCCAAACAGTTCCCATCTTTCTCCCTACACCCTCCTAATTTTTCCATATAGTTAGAGGAGAGCTAAAGTCATGTCATTCATTCCCACCATCTTGATGCTGAAATTGTGTGGATTGTGTGTGTGTGTGTGTGTGTGTGTGTGTTTCAGGACAAGGGCTCCAGCCTGGACCCTCAGCAGCACTTTAACGCACTTGACGTGGGCACCCTGGGCCTTAACACCAGTCACTCACCATCAGCGTCCTCCAGAAGCTCCCACAAATCCTCGCACACGGCTATGTCAGAACCCGCCTGTGAGTGAGCTGCCAAGGATGGCGAGGGGGTGGGTGCCCCATGTGGGGCCCGGGTGGTGGGGGCATGGAGCCCTGTGAAGGGTCCCAGGCCTGAGCAGAATCAGGGCAGCCCATGGCTACGGAGTGGGAGCTGCCTTCCTGTTCGCACTCGTTCTTGCTCCCTTTCCCGTGGGCTTCCTGCCCTCCCCGTCTCCCCACTCCCGAGCAGACATAAAGCAGGTGACACACAGACCCTATAGTCCGGCTGGGCTTTAGTGATTCTGGTGAGGTGTGAGATCAGGCAGGTGGCTGAACCAGGCGGTGGGCTTGGTTTGCTGTCATCTGCCTGCTCCCAGGTGAGGTTAGAAGCTGACAGAACTTGCTGGACTTTTCTTTTGTCAGTGATCCCAACCAGGCGCTTGTCTAATGTACACCATAGTCATTGTTCCCCTGCTTTGATAAGAAAACTGTTAAGTATGTGTGGATCGGGAAGGTGACTGGTTGCTTTCTTATAGCCACTCCGAGCAAGCTGATGGCAGAGGCCAGCACCACGGCTTTACCCAGATCGGCCACCCTGCCCCAAGAGCTCCCTGTGCCAGGGCTCAGCCAGGCAGCCTCCATGCCGGTATGTGGGTGACTTGAAACTTCTCAGCCAGGGGTGCCCCAGTGTGGCGGGGCTGGCTAGACCCCAGGACGGCGTGCTGCATCTTCCCAGAGAACCAACTGTACCTGGACATTGAGAGTGTGGGGTGGCGGGCAGGGGTCGGAAGCCAGGTCATTTAATTAGCAACTAATTGGAAACGTTTTTCCTCCAAAATCAGCAGGAATGTATAGTCAAAGAATGCAAAATCCAAATGCGATTTAAAGATTAAGCTGGAAACCTCAAACCAGGGGTCACACCCCCAGAGTCTCTGAGGGTACACAGGACCCTTCCATTGTGGGTACTGTTTCACGCCAGCGGAAATGTTTGAGAAGTCTGTGTCAACAAAAATGTCCCTCTGCATATATCAGGCAGTGTCTCTGATCTACACCAGACCCCTCCAGAAGGTCAGGGAATGAGTGGCCTTTTAGAAAGCATGCTGGCTATATGCAAAATCACTGATGTACAATTCTCTGGTTATCAGTTGCCTCGTAAGGGATCGCCTCAAACTGAGGGGTGTAAAGCAAGAGTCCTTTCTCACATTCACGGGATTCAAAACGAGCACAGTGGGGCTGACTTGTCTCTGCTGTCTGGTGTTGGAGGCCTCACCAGGGGAATGGGGAATTCACATCCCAGGTGTATCTGCACTCACATCTGCACCCCCACCCCCACCCCGGGCTGAGCTGGGCTGACTGACGGTTGGGCCCACCCGAGACCATCCACCCTGGACTTACACGGGCCTCTCCCTGCCTTAGAGCAGAGCTGCTCCCAGCACGGCAACTGGGTTCCAAGAAAAGATGTCTGGAGGGGGCTTTCCGTGAGAGCCGGGCAGAAGCTGCATGGCTTTCTATGACCTAGCCTTGGGAGTCCCACCGTGCCTCCTCTGCCATTCCTCTTGGTCCGAGCAGTCGCAGCTCACCCACAGAGATGGACATAGACCTCCACCTCAGGATGGGAGAAGTGTCCAGGAATTTCAGGGGCTACATCCAGGTCATTGCCAACTACCTCATACCCATCCCTCACTGACATTTTGGGAATGGGAGTGAACATGCCACCTTCCTGCTTGCCGTCTCCGTGAAAGTTATACACGCCCTACTTGAAAATCTTGGGTGAAGAGTTTTATTTTCAAATCAAACATGACAAAGACCATGAATGCCATTCTTCTAGCACTTGGCTGTCCAGTAAAACAGTTTTCTGCCATTGATGGAGGTGCAGTCCTGGTCCCTCCCTGCAGTGCTGGAGACGCAATCGGGAGACTCCAACCCAGGCTCTGGGTGGCCCTGTGCCTGGGATTTCTCACTCAAAACCAGGCCTCCTGTTGTCACTTCCTCCCAATGTTGTCCTGGGTGACACTTCCCATTTGGGCTGCTTTCTATGGTCCCTAGCGCCTGAGGACAGTTTGGGAATAACTTCAGAAGAATCCTTGGACTTTTCTTTTTAAAACTCTCATGAGCCCATGAAGGTGAAGTGTTTCATTTCTTGTTTCTACGCATTGTCTCGCCACCGTCCCCCTGCCCTGTCCTGAGTGATTAGGAGACAAAGTCTGTGACTTCCCAGGAGTCTCTCGAGCGGATCCCAGGCAGAGTCTGGTGAAATTGCACCAGTATTCACTGCCTGGAGGAATGAATGGATATAGAAATGCGGGGCACTAATGTACATCTGTCTGCCTGAGTGTTGAACAGAAAGCATAAGGACCGCACACAAAGCCAACACTGGTTATTAGCCCAGCCCCATTCATACGGCTCCATGACGCTGCTAAGAATTTATCAGTTTGGGAAAAGAGCAAGCCAATCCACCAAGAATGGAGCCTAGAACAGAAGGCAAGGGAGGGGATTGGAGCCGAGCTGCCAAGCTCCGGCACATCGCAGCGGCTTCACAGGGCACACCGTGGCCTCCCCATCCCGAGGGACTCCAGGACCTTGCTCAAGATCACGCTGTACCCTTCACCAGCCGTGTGTCGGCTGTGACTCCGTGTCCTGCAAGGGCAACAGCATAGCCTACCTTCTAGAAGTGAGCTCTTCACGCTAATGCAGAGGGCCTCCTTTAAGCCAGAGAACCCAGCTGATCGAGAGCGCCCAAGGACCTCGGGAATGGCCCAGAAGTGGTGTTTGTTAACAAAGCCCCCCTCTCTTCCCCAGGCTCCCCTGCCGGCCCCGTCGTCCTGTGACCTCACACAGCAGCTCCTGCCGCAGACCATCCTGCAGAGCCCCCCTGCCCCCATGACACAGGTGAGTCTGGGGCTCAGGAAAAGGGAAACCTGGTGGTTGCGCTTCCCCCAAGACATAACGCGCGGTATCCCCTTGAGTGGGGGGGATACACTGTTGCCCAAGTATATGTACCAAACCAAGATCCTGAAATGGGGAATGTTTCTCCCCATGTGCCCGTGGGACATGCTGAGCTATGAGCTCTGTCCTATACCTGTCCCCTCCGGCCATCATACTTTCCTTAATCTTCGTTCATCTTTTTTGCCACTTTTCTCTGTTCCTCTTACTTTTTATGACTCCAAATTGATGATGTTATTTTAGGAAAAGTTTAAATTAGGCCAAATGTCATAGGGAGACTGCAAAATTTTAAGAGCTGTGAGTCCGGTATTATTAATATCACATTGGGGTTTGTTTTGTTTTGTTTTATTTTTTAAGGATCATGGCTTTGCTGAGTAATTCCTTCTTTGTTTCAACAACAGTCAGTGAGTTACTATTTGGGTCGGGCAGTGAGCGAGCATGAGGGGCACTGTCAGCCCTTGCGGTTAGTAGTCAAGGTTCAAGGGAGGGCCGGGCATATAAACAGACCAACCTCCACCGCAGGGCGCGTGTGTTTACAGAACCAGTAAGAAAATAGCACCCCCCCACCCCCACCCGGGGGGTGATGCCTGAGCTGGGCCTGGAAGAATGGGTAGGAGATTGCCGGGTGGAGGGCCCACAGGGAAAAGGGATGGACGTGGGTCTGCGCTTCACAGGGAGTTTTAGTATTTTTTTTTAAGATTTTATTTATTCATTTGACAGAGAGACACAGCGAGAGAGGGAAGACAAGCCGGGGGAGAGGGAGAGCGAGAGGGAGAAGCAGGCTTCCCCCCTGAGCAGGGAGCCTGATGTAGGGCTCGATTCCAGGACCGGGGGACCATGACCCAAGCGGAAGGCAGACGCTGAACAACTGAGCCACCCAGGCGCCCCTCGCAGGGAGTTTTGACAATATGCACCCTGCTTGAGGCCAGGCAGGCAGCTGAATGAAGCAGCAGTCATTCATTCTGTGGCCCGGGAGGGTGGTGGAGCTGATTGGTTTACACTCCGCTGAGGCCAGCCTCCGATTTCTGTTCCTTTACGGGGGGTATTTAGCTTGGTCCCACTCTCTGGCCACAAGGGGTCCTAGGTCACAGCAGCTCACCAACTGGCTGCACTCTTGCCAAAGTGTGGATTTCTGTGTCAGTGCAAACCTGTCTATAACATATGTCCCATTAACAGCAGTCTCGAATGCTTTCCTGGAATAAGAAAGACACCTGCTAGTACGTGCTCCTCGCTAGAGTTAGGCTGGGAGGATTAAAAACGACTCATCCAGAGTCAACTAATTAAAATCATCTATATTCGTCCTCATTAGGAAAAAAAAAATTCTCTTCGAATTTCCAAGGTACATTTGGTATGAAATTAGTAACTTTTTCAACCCAAAGGCACCTAAAATGAGAGTCCCTCTAACTTCTGGGTCTTGCATAAGTAAAGGAATTTCTTTGTTTTATAATGCATAATGATGTGATTAAAGTCTTCTTCAAATTCTAATTTTTCATGTATGGAACATTATTTTAATTAACAATAACAGTTCTTAGTCTGTTAGGCATATTATACTTAATAATAACCACATTCTTTAAGACATTCTTGCATAATGCTGACCTTTCAAGTCAGATGGCTCTTTTCATACCTGCTCCATGTAAAACAATGGATTCTACCATTTTCTCTCTTCCCATTCACCGATATTATCATTCTCGCACCCTATCACAGAAAGGGGGAAGAAATAAAATCCAAAATCTGAGAAATGATTATCTGGGTAGCTGGTGGTTTTGCTCCATACTGTGTTTCTAAAATGTCTGTAAGTTAACATAAAGGTCTTTATCAAAAAGGCCATGATCAGGAATAGAACAAGAGACTAATGTTTGGGTGTCCTGGAATGCCTTGAGAAAATCAGAATAATACTAGAAGTACCTAACACTTAGGAAACACAGTGCCGGCGCCTCCCTGACTGCCCAGCCCCCTCTTGTTTCCCTTTGGAGCCAACAGGGGAACCCAGAGTGTCCTCTCTACTAGACATGCAAGGCATAGCCCCGGAGTGTTTCCTGACTTTGTAGAACCCACCACGGAAGCTTTTGTGTTGTGTTGTGTTGTGTTGTGTTGTGTTGTTTTTAATTTCATACCTTGTAGAACTCCTTTTCTTTCTCAGTCAAATTCTCTTTCAAAATCCCAGCTCAGTGTTTTGATCATTTACTTTCTGCTGAAGTTTTTGTTGATACCGTCTGGCATAGCACAGGTATTTTTAAACTCATGTTGAGCAGCAGAACTTTTTCCTTTAAATGAAGTCTGAAGCCAGAGATGCTCTGATTGAGGTGGAATTGGGAGGCGGGGGAGGTGTTGCTGGCAAAACCTCTTGGCCTCAGCCAGCTCCTGAGACTGCGGATTCACGTGTTGGCCCCTACCACCTTCTAGCTGTGCGATCCCAAGCAAGTCACATGCGTGACATGGGGGTGTGATGTGAAGAATTGCTGACCTGCCTCTGCCGGCTGGGGCAGTGACTGGAAAGTGTGGGTCTCCCCACACGGCAGTACCCGCCTTTATTATTCGTACTGGTTCTTTTTATTAGTATTGTGCCACTCCCAAAACTGTGGTCAGTGATTCTGTCCTTCAGTGTATCCCAGCTGTATCCGAAACTCTCCCGGCCTCCTTGCTTTTCCACGTATGGGAGGTCAAAGGGCAGAGGAAGAGTCTCTGCAGGTGTTTGCAAAAGACAACGGGCAAGAAATGGATTAGGGAGATTGTTGGGATAGAGAAGATCGAGGGAATAGAGGTTTAAAAAAAAAAAGGGAGAAGAAGATAGGGAGAGAGGGAGGGAGGGGGGGAGGCAGGAAGGAAGGAAGGAAGGAAGGGGTGAGCAGAAAGCCCCGGCCAGCAAACACAAGAAACAGGAACTCTTGAGTGCCCCCAGAGAGCCCAGAGCAGGAGTACTGACCTCACCTGCCATGATCCCCCACTTTCCTCATGTTTCCTATAAGGAAACGCCTTATGTCAAGGTGGACAGGGACAGAATCTTCCCATAGCCAACCTCCATCCCAGGAAAGGGGTAAGAGGTAAAAGAAGGTGAAACTTGGTGCCCTTGTGCAAAGCACTTATCAGTGTCCCTCCTATAAGGTCGCCCTCTGCCAGTGTTACCCTCAGGACAAATGTCAGGTAACTGTACAACCCTTTTCCTTAGTTCTTCTGTGCACAGATTTCTAAGAAGTTCATAGCAGCAAATGAGCCCAGGGGAAGGGAGGGAGGGTGATAAGGCCTCCATGGCCCAGGCCTGTTAGGAGGGCAGCCACCCCCCTCCGCCCCTGGGAAATATCAAGTTCATTTGTGAATTGTTACAGAACAGCCCTGCTTTCCAGGATCAGATTTAGGATAATGATAGGACCCCAGATTGCCTGTGAACTGTCACCTGCTCTCCGATGCACGGCTTTTGACATTCATTTCCAAAACCATTTGTCTAACCAAATTTGGAATATCAGTTTGTGAGCACTGCTTACAAAATCACGTCTGGATTCTGTGGCCCTCCCGGACTGCCGTGCAATACGTTAGACCTGCAGATTCCGGTGGGCCTCGGAATAGCCCACACGGGGACCCCTGGAACACCCGGTCCTCATCCAAAGCCCCTGTGCGCTGCTGAGCTCCCCAGCAGCGAGTCACTCAGTAGGGATACCAGAATGGGCGGATAAGGGACCGGAAGTGAAAGTGGGCAGGGCCACTCAGGACAGCAGCAACATCTGTCTGCAAGGCTGAAATGGCTCTTTCATCTGGTTGTGTGTTTTGACTCCACCTTCAAGTTCTCAGCACAGTTCAGCATGTTCCAGACCATCAAAGACCAGCTGGAGCAGCGGACACGGATCCTGCAAGCCAACATCCGGTGGCAGCAGGAAGAGCTCCACAAGATCCAGGAACAGCTCTGCCTGGTCCAGGACTCCAACATCCAGGTGATGCCCCTTCCCGGGCCAGTGTCTGCCATGGCCTCTGTCCTCCCTGCCGCCCTGTGACGTATCTATCCGTCCTTTCAGGGTGGGCGGGACTCCCGCCAAAGTCCCTCTGTACTGCCCTGATTGAGTCCTGCTTACTAAGCATATTGAAACTTCCAACACCAAGTACAAGGAATGAATCCCACCTCCTCCACCCCCAACTCCAGGACAAATGTGAATTTCCCATGACACCCTCCCCATTTACCCCTTGCTCTTTTGGGCACATAATATCTATGTATCACCTGCATTTTCATTCATGAGTGGTGGTTGATCGCCCTGCACTGATGCTGGCTCCCTCCCAGGGGGTTATAAACTCCCAGCACCTGTCAACTGCCCGGGTTGCTGGTGGGGGGCATGGGCATTATTGTGCTGTTGCCTCTCATCCAAAGCGTTAATGGAGGGACATGTGGGAAATGATGAGATCTGTACCCTGCACCGAGGGGGACAGCAGAGAGAGCAGGGACTGAAAGTCAGCACCCTCGCATCTCCAGGCCACCCCATTTGTGGCATGCCCATGGTGGCCCTCTGCATGTTCTGACAACAGCAGCTTTTAACTGTGACACCGTGCCCCGGAGGTCGCTTCTTTGAATCCTTTTGAGAGATTGTGTTTGGAAGGAATGCTGGGTATACTAGATCTCTTTCATGGATAAATGATTTTTACCAAGTTTCACTTGGATCAGTCCAAGACGATTTTTCTTCCCAAGTGCATTCTTTTGACCCAGGCTCTAATTGTGAATGTAATTCTAGCTCACCCTGGGAGCCTCCCTTGAGAGCTCTAAGCATTTGCACCCCCTCTTAGGAGAGGCAGAAGGAAGCAGGAGAGTACCTCGGGGAAAATGGCTGGAGCCCGGGACCTGTTGCTTCCCGGCCCGGTCCACACAGACCTTCCCGGGGGCTACCCGCAGGCTCTGTGCGGGCGCAGCGCCCAGCTGGTGCGTGCGGAGATAACGCGTGATGGGGCGGCGTTGCTGGGCAGCAGGAGACACCTGCTGCCTGCCATCGTGCCTCCCGGGGGCCCCCCAGAGGCGCTGTTGGCCGGCTTTCCGGACACCCTGTGCCCCTCCACAGACCCCCGGCCCCGGGCTGGCTCCGCACTGGGAGGACCGAGCTGGGCAGCACACTCACAGCCCCGCCTACGGGGTCGGGGGCGGAGCGTCCAGCCACGCCCACAGCCCTGCAGCTGCCCCGCCTCCTCAGCCGCGCTCGAAACGGACCAAGGAGAGAACCACAGTGTTTACAGGGAAAGAAATGGAGTCATCAGGATGTCAAAGTCCCTTTTTACTTATTCCTTCCCAGCTGTAATGTTTCCTCCCTGATCCAGGGCCTGATTGGCAGAACTTGCCTGACTCCAATTACTTGAATGGAATTTTTACACTAACAGGAAGGGGAAAATTGAGCCAGAAACTGCTAAAAGCAAGGTAGGCGTATGAACGTCCTCCTCAGAGCCCGGGCTTTTCTATTTCCTGCCTTTTCCACATTCAAGCTGAATTCTAAAATAACAGGCGACACAGGTTATCTCTTTCACTCCTTGTTATAAACAATTTTTTTTTCCTCCTGACCAATGCATTTTGTTACCCCCCCAAAGTACATATGCCCACAGAGCACCTTAGTTTTGTAAGGGTTGATGTGGAAATCAAGACCTCCAGTGTGTTCCTTCCCTGTTTTCATTCTTGTGACCTTATCTTTGCAGTGGAATTTTCCAAAGAACATGGAAATCCACAGATAGTCCAACCAGAGAACTTTTCCTCAAGCAGTCTGCCTTCTTGTAGTTCTACAGGTTTACAGACTTAAAGAAATACATTCCAAAATGTTTAACCAAAATGTGATATTCATTAAAAAAAAAAACAAAAACTGTGTGGTTCAAGCATAAAGAATAAGCAAGTAAAAATTAATTTACCCCTTCCCCAAAAAGGTAGGAGGTGGGAGCAGAGATTAAAGAATGGCAAAATGTTGATAATTGTTGAAGCCTAATGATGATACATGGGGTTTCCTTATACCTCTATTTTGTGTATTTCTAAGATGTTCTGTGATAATAATAAGTATTGGTAAAAGTAAGCAGATTAGAATAATGAGAAACCACAGGTGAGCATACGATTGGTTTATTCTTAAAAATTAGGAGATTTTTTTTTCTCTGATAACTTTTTCTACTTGAATTAGGGAGCTATTTTTCTCATACTTTCTATAAAGTTGACCCGGTGCTGTTTAAGACGTCATCTTCCTAAGCCATAAAATTCTACTTTATTGTGGATAAAACAGAGGCATGGATGTGCACAGCAGCAAACAGGATTGTCCCCTACAAAATCCTTTACCCAAATGTCAGTGGACTTTGCCACTTGACTTCAGTGCCCCGGAGCTTTCATTGAGCCTATGTGAGCATGTGATGCTTGCTGAGTACGATTAAAAAAAAAAAAAAAGATTGGGTTATGAGGGAAAGGTCCTCTAAGGTGTTGGTGTTTGCAACTAGATGGAGTCACGAAGGGCACTACTTGGGGAGAGCTGTTCTGGTGAAAGGCTGTGTCTGTCACTCCCTGCGGTCCAGAGAAGGATGCCTCTTGCTCTCTTTTTGAGAGTATGCGCGCCCTCTGCTGGCTACTCAAAGAAATGCCTGGAAGGGCACCTGTAGCAATGGCAAATGTGTTCCTTGATTAGTTCTTTCAATCATCCATCTTTCCTTTTTTTCTTCCATCCACCCATCCATCCATCTATTCACCCATCATTCCTTCCTTCCAACTATCCACCTATGCACCCATCCATTCATCCTTCCATCCATCCTTCCTTCCATCCCTTCATCCACCCCCCTATCTGGGAGACACCCATTATGTATCCGGCACTTGGCTAGGCACTGTGGGAATACAGAGATACACAGGACAGGTAGAGGGTGCCTTCTACCCTCAGAAGGCACACATCAATGAGACAGAGCAGCAGACCCAGCAGTCTCTGACATGACACAAGCAGAAACAGTTTGCCCTTCGAGCAAAAGCCTCATTTATTTGTTTATTCATTCATTTATGTATTCCACTCATTCATTTCTTAGATAGTTTTTGTATGCCCAAAGAGGCTAGGGAACAAAGAGCTCCTTTTTTTATTTTAAATATGATTGTTACTATCTACCATTGATTGAGCCCTGACTGCGTCTCAGCATAAATCTCATTTAATCCTTTACGAGCTATGTGCTCTTGATATCACTGTTTTATTAATGAGGAAACTAAAGCTTGGAAAAGTCAGGAAAATTACCCAAGGTCATACCAGTAGCACATGGTGGGGTTGGAATCTGAACTAAGGTATGTAATTGAAGCTACATTATACCGCCTGTTATAAATAAAGGTTGCATGGACTTGAAATCTAATCAGAAGGTAAATTGTACCCTACCAGAAAAATGTATGTTATGTAGTGTGTGTATTGGGTTTTTGCTGAAGTGATGAAGTGTAGGTCATGCCATATTATAGTAGGTAGCTGGGAACGTGTAAAGTATTAATCCCCAAATGGAATCTGAGATGATGGATACCCAGAAAATTCTTAACTTCTAAGGTGACAAAGAGCTCTCATTATTCAAAACCTCTCTGGTGGGGGTGAGGGATGTGACTGGACAGCGGGGAGATCAGGTGGGGTGGTGGAAAGGGCACCAGATGGGGACCTGGTCCAGTTCAGCCACCCACCCACCTCGGGCCTCTGGGAGGCAGCTCGAACTCACCCACAAGGCACACGCTTGAACTAATGATCCCTAAGTACTCCTGCAAGTGTCTGCTTGGCTTGGTTCTGCCTCTGCCTTTCCATAATCCCTCGGTCACTCAGCCAATGGTCAGCATGTCGGTTCTCCACTGGCTTGGAGGTTGTCCTGAGCTGAGTACAGGAAGCAGGGTTAAAACCCCAGATGCTGGAAGGAAGAGGGCCTCCCTCCTGAAGAAGTCAAAGCCCCAGGTCTACAAGGGAGGGGAATACTGCTTGTCAAGAATCCGACATATTAGATAATGGCAGTTTTCAGTGCCCACAAGGACCTTTGGTTGAAAGAGCTAGTTACAGGTCTTAGGTTTAAATTATGATTGAAAGTATTAAGGTTGTTCTTCTTAGGCCTTTAGAGTCAATTTACAGATTACATTTTATTTACAAATCTAATTTGGTCTAAAAATAGCAGTGCTTTTACTTGTTTTTATTTATGTTAGTTTATAGATTTAACAAATTGTAAATAATCAACAGTATCTACAAAAGCCATTAATCTACAAGTTCGATATATCTAAATCCTTCAAACATTTCAGGTGCCTAACAAGGTAGGCTTATAAACTTAAGAAGTGAAATCTTTCTTTTTTTTTTTTAAAGATTTTATTTATTTATTTGAGAGAGAGAATGAGAGAGAGAGAGAGAGCTTGAGATGGGGGAGGGTCAGAGGGAGAAGCAGACTCCCCGCTGAGCAGGGAGCCCGATGCGGGACTCGATCCCCGGACTCCAGGATCATGACCTGAGCCGAAGGCAGTCGCTTAACCAACTGAGCCACCCAGGCGCCCCTAAGTGAAATCTTTCTAAGCACTTAATCAGCTCTTTTAAATCAAATACACCAGACCTACAAATGAGGTAGATCGAGGTTCTCACAAACTCTCGAACATTCTACAAACTTGATCAAATTCCCTTAAACCTCTCAAATTAAGATTGCCAAGCCAACATATCACAGGTGCCTTCCTGGGAATGCAGAGTCACCTCATTAATGGGGGCAGGTTTGCCATCTCAGCTGGGAGCACTGGGTTGAAGATGCCAACCCCAGTGCGGGTACATGCCCCGGTCAGTGGCCTGGTCCTGCTGCCAGGATGGTGCAGACTGTGGCGCAGGTTAGCCCACCCTCGGCCACCACTCATTCCATTCACAAGATATTTCTCTCTCATAAGGAGCCGATAAGCCAGCCCAGACTCTATATAAGTACGTCAACTCATTTATAGGCCATCCAGGTCTAAGCATCTTTCATCATGTTAGACCTCCATTGCTAGACCATAGCTTCTCGAAGCCAGGGTCAGTGTCCCTCCAACTCACTGTTCCATCTCCAGGGCCCTCGCACCGTGCTCATGGCTTGATAGCCTCCAGCGCCCCCATGTTGAGTGAATTAATTCTTCCCAGGCAGGTCAGAGACAGCAAGAAAGCTGACCTCTTACCGTGGCTAGGGAATACAAAGAAGGTTCAGACACCTTGGTGTGTGAAGGCGAACACCTGAAAGTGAAGGCACCTGGGATCCCAACCTTAAAGGCCCTCTTGTTCTGCTTCCAGATGTTTCTGCAGCAGCCGGCTGTATCCCTGAGCTTCAGCAGCGCCCCGCGGCCCGAAGCTCAGCAGCAACTCCAGCAGAGGTCGGCCCCAGGCTCCCAGCCCCAGCTCGTGGCCAGCCCTCAGCTTCCAGGGCAGATTGGCTCTGCCCAGGTGGCGAACCAGCACCTGCTCAGAGAATCCAGTGTGATATCAACCCAGGTCAGCGTGCTCGTCTTCACACTCTGTCCTTGCCACTGAAGCAGACCAGGGCACACTTGAGTCCCGCAGCCTCCCTGACCTGGAAACCTATTGAGCCATTCCTCTTCTGTGACTGGGGCTAGATTATGGTGGTGTGGGGTTTTCCTTTCCTTATTCTAAGATGCTCTGAAGCCCCAAGTTGTAATAGTTTCCTCCTGTGTTTTATTAATATATTAAAATACCTCAATGGTATCCTGCAGCTGAAACTTTCAGTTTTGATCCTGACTGGGGTGGGAGGGAGATATGGACACCCAGACACTCACACCGACAGCCATATGTCCCCACGTGTGTGTGCTCCGTCCTCATCACCTGCTCTTGGTTTTAGCCATTTTCAGTGTGAGAACACAGGTTATATCCACTTCCGTTCATTTTCCCTTTCCCTGGGGCCAGCATGCCCCTTCCAGTCCCCACCAAGCCCTTCCCTCACAGCCATTACTGCCTACTACAAGCCACAGTGACCTTGCAATCTGACAGTCTTCATCAATCAATGGCACTTGAATTGAATGCAACTAAGAAGTCCTAAGCCCCTGCTTCTGGAAGACCAAAGATTGGGAGGCAAGATACAGCCTTTCCTCAAGCCTCATATTGGCATACGTCATCATGGGTCCAGTAAACATCTGCTGAGCCCCTCTTATTCACCATCCCCCAGGGGAAAAGACGTGAATAAGACTGGTCTTGACTCCAAGGAGCTTCGAGTCCCATGGGTCCTCTGGGAATGTAAACAGATAATGTACAATAAAAGGTAGAAAGTACACATTTAAGAGTTTGGCCCATCTTCACCCAGACTTAAGGGTTTTCCTTTAAAATGCAGCCTTTTGATTCTAAAGGTCAAGAGAGAAATTAATGAGAATAGTCAAGAAGAATCTAGAAAAGAAAACACTGAGGAAGGACCTACACTAGCATTGAAAGATTTCATGGGTGCTCGGACAGTTAAAACACTGTGGTGCCATCATATGAATGGATGGTCGGCGAAACAGTGCAAAACCCAAAAAGCAAAAGCAAATCCAAGCCCATTCCCTCATTTAGTTATGATTTCGCTCAACAAGTATTTGTCAAGTGCTCACCGCATGCTAGGTACTAAGTTCTAAGCACTGAGAGACAGCAGTGAACAAAAGAGAAAAGAAAAAAAGCATCTCTGATCCAACTCAGGAGAGAGAGGCAAACAAGCAAAGATCACAACCTGTCAGGTGGTGATGCGGGACCACTGGTGAAGGTGGGGGGTGGGCTGGAGTTTTAAATAGGTGGCCTTCTCTTAGAGAAGATAATATTTGAGCCAAGACCTGAGGGGATGAGAGAATGAACCATACTGGTATTAGGGGGAAGAGTATTCCACATGGAGGGGTCAGCCAGTGCAAAGGCCCTGAGGCCAGAGTACTCCTGGTGAGTTGGAGAGAAAGAGCAAGGAGGTCCAGGTGTCAGAATCAGTGAAGCAGAAGGTAGTTCAGTTCATGCACATTTTCCTTGCCTGCCGAGAGCCTGACACTGTTCTAGGCCCGAGGGATTCAAAGAATCCTTGAGGTGCTTATGATCCAACGGGGAAGAGTCACAAGATCAAAATAGTTCAAAAAACTCGTGGGTCCTAAGAGGAAGGGCCAAGGTGGGTAGAAGAAAGGGGTTCTGGGAAGGGGGGTTCCTGGAGAGATGACTCCTGAGTTGAGTCTGAGTTTTACCTTTCTCATTAACACGACTGCTCCAGGGTCCAAGGCCAATGCGAAGCTCGCAGCTGATGCCGGGAAGCGGCCCCTCGGTGAGCAGCTTGACGCCCCAGTTCAGCAGCGCCACGGCAGTGCTCCCGCCAGCTCTGAGCCTGACCACGCTCGCTTCTGCCTCCCAGGACGGCAGCCAATGCCGGCCCAGCCCAGCCTTCAGCCATGATCGGCAGCTCAGGTACAGAGACTGCGCTTGTTTGAAAGACAGCTGAGGTGCAGCTTTCCAGGGACCATTGCAGCCTTCCTGCTGTTGTAGATGGAGGCAGAGTTCAGGTGATCCCAGCCAAGAGAGTGTCAAGAGAGGGCCGGGGGCTCGGGTGGCTGCACTCCTCATCCTCCGAGAGCAGAGCAGGCGCCTTGGGGATCGGGGCAGCCAGAAGGGGCCCAGCCGGGCTGGGCAGGCGCTGCCGTCGGCCCGCGGGTCCACAGTTTGGGCGCTGGTTCAAGTTTCCCGTTTATCTCCTCCTCTGCCCCAAGGCTGCTGCTGAGCCAGCCCATCCAGCCCATGATGCCTGGGTCCTGTGACGCGAGGCAGCCCTCAGAGGTCAGCAGGACTGGACGACAAGTCAAGTAGGTGGCCCCGGGTGGAGGGAGGAGGCCGAGAGCCGCACTGAGCGCTCTCGGGCTGGCAGGGTTCTCATCGGCCTGGACCAGCAGTGCTCGTGTGAGCCGCACCAAAGGCAAGGTCAAAGTGTGTCCACACCCTTTGCAGGGACACCCCCTTAGCTCTTCTTCCGTTTCCCATTGAAGAAGATAAAACTGTGGGTCAGCATCCCATGCTTAGAACAGGACCTGAAGGAAACAATTATCTGTCATCATCTTCAAGCATCTTTACGGGTCCTTCACCCTTGGTAACAACCCAGGTAAATGTAGCCTGAGCCCCCTCCCCAGGCCCCCCCATGGCCCCGTCTGACCAGCAGATACCGGCAAGTTCCACAGGCACACTTGAAGCTCCCCTGCTCTGGGGCTCTGGCGCCGAGCCACGGGGCTGTGAAACCCTGCAGATGTGGGTTCTCCTTTCCTCCCAGACACGCCACCTTCTCCTTTCCCCAGACTCCTCGCCACCGGCGGCCCCGACGTCCAGAAGCAGCTTTCCTCCGCTGTTGCTTTAATTACTCCGGACAAAGGATACTGGAGATAGAGGAGTGGATACTTGAAAAGCTACTGGGAAATAGCTCCTAGCTCTTTGACATGAGGCAGAAGTAGAACTATCTCACAGACATCTTTCTTCTAAACACTGGTTGAGTGTGTGTCAGCAGTTCGCTGAGATGGTGCTAGCTAATTCCCCCACGCCATCCCCTGGCACCGGCCCCTAGAAGCCCTTCCTCCTGCGTCCTCCCTCAGCCAGCAATAACAGTAGCCGTGGATGGTCACTGAACATTTCTGAGGGGCAGGGGCTGTACCTACAGCATTTCATTTTATCCCAATAAAAACCACGTGGGGGCGAGATGGGGAATGCACACTTACGGAAGCCGCCTTTAAATTCCCTGATGGTGCTCTCAATTAGACAAAACAAAGACTCTTGTTACATTGCTTTCCAGAGATGCTTAAAATGTAGTGAACTAGGCAAAAGTGGGAATTCTTTCCTCTGGAACTCTAACTGCCATTTTTGGTCAACACAATAATTTCTACCTTCCCCGTCTCCTCCAGACATGACCTAATGCCCCATCTTGTTATAAATGACAGAGAGAAATAACATTTCCAAAAATATAATGCAAAATGGACTTCTCTATAGCGTCTTTAAACACCTGTTCCTATTCTGTGCTCCTCTGGAGGCTTCCTAAATGGCCTTCCTCTGCCTCTTGTTCATGGTCCATGATCATCAACACCTTTTTCTTTTTTAATTGTGGTAGAATATATATGTAACAAATTTTACCATTTTAGCTCTAAGTGTACTGTTCAGTGGCATTCACCATCACCACCGTCCGTCTCCAGAAGTTCGTCTTCCCAAACTGAAATTCTGACCCACATTACACACCAACTCCCTGCTCCCTCTACCCTCCAGCCCCACAGTCTTCTTTCTCTTATGAATCTGACTCCTCTAGGAATCTTAATCTAAGGGGAGTCACACAGTATTTGTCCTTTTGTGACTGGCTTACTTCATTCAGTATAATGTCCTCAAGGTTCATCCATGCTCTAGCACGTGTCAGAATTTACTTCCTTTTTAAGACTGAATAATATTCCATTATGCGTATATACCATATTTTGCTTATCTGTTCGCCCATCAATGGGGATACTTGGGTGGCTTCTACTTTTTGGCTATTGTGAATCTATGTTGCTATGAACACGGGTGTACAAATATCTGCTTGAGTCCCTGCTTTCATCTTCTCTGGGATATATACCCAGAAGTGGAATTGCTGGATCATATGGTAATTCTTTGCTTAATTTTTTGAGGAACTGCCATTCTGTTTTCCATAGTGGCTGCACCATTTTACATTTCTTTATTTTATTTTATTTTATTTTTTAGAGAGAGAACGTGAGGGGGGAGGGGCCACGAGAGAGGGAGAGAGAGAATCTTAAGCAGGCTCCACACTCAGCGTGGAGCCCGAATCGGGGCTCAATCTCACAACCCTGAGATCATGACCTGAGCCGAAATCAACAGTCAGATGCTTAACCAACTGAGCCACCCAGGTGGCCTCCCCCATTTTACATTTCTATTAGTGCACAAAGATTCCAATTTCTCTACATCCTCATCAACACTTATTATTTTGTTTTTTATTTTTTTCTTAATAGCCATTGTCATGACTAGGAAGTGGTATCTCATTTTGATTTTGATTTGTGTTTCCCTATTGTCTAAGGATGTTAAGCATCTTTTTTTGTGCTCATTGGCCATTTGTATCTTTTTTTGAGAGAAATGTCTGTTCAAACCCTTTGCCCATTTTTGTAGTCGGGCTGTATTGTTGTTGTTGAGTTGCAGTCCCTTGTTAGATATATGATTCACAAATACTTTTTTATAGGTGGCCTTCTCAATCCATGGATAGTGTCCTTTGATGCACCAAAGTTTTTGATTTTGACAAAGTCCAGTCTATCTGTGTGCCCTTTCGTTGCCTCTGCTGCCGGTATCACATCAACTCCTCTTTCTTAAAAGTCTGTTTTCTCCTTCCCACGTGACCAAACAGGTATCCACAGAGCCAGGCTGTGTTTCCAAATGCAGACATGCACACCACCAGCAGCAGCGCCTCACCCCCCGTTCTGCTGATGGGACAGGCGGTGCCCCAGCCCAGCTTCCCCGCCTCCCGGCAGTCACCCCTGCAGCCCGCACAGGCCCAGCAGCAGCCACAGCACTTCCTGCAGGTGGGCACCACCGCACGCATGCGCCCAGGCACAGGACAGAGCTCCACAGCCCTGGGCTGACAGGCCTTTCCTCCCTGGCTTTCAGGGTGGCTCTAGTCCTCAGTTCCGAAACAAACTCCAGACAGATTTGCATTTGAGGCTTTATAGTTTATGAAGTTTATAATACTTAAAGTTTATAAAGTCTTTGTATATTTAGTAGGAGAAATTTAGACTCAGCTGTTATGCCTCATTTGATATGTGCTTAAAAGATCCATCTTTAATACTATTCCATCTGACAAACGCTATTTACAAAATTTATATCTAGTATGCTTTGTGTGTAGTTTGGAATATGAGAGAGTGCGGGGCAAATTTGAATCAGTAAGATGACTAATGCCTGAGGGAAAAAAAAAAAGATCCATCTTTAAGAAGTAATTGTTATACGGTGTCCATATTTTTGAGAACAAAATTGTGGTGGTGGGACCTGATTACTGTGATTGTCAAACTTGTTAGTGTGTTTATACACAAAGTCTTCTACAAATACAAATTACATGTTTAGTTAAAGATTCATCGAACTTGCTTGATAAATACAATAATGTGGCCTGAAGTTGGGGCTTTCTAGGAAAATGTGGGGCACTTTTACATGTGGTCACTGCTTGCTTTAAGCAAGTGCCAAACACACTGGAAGGAGGGAGGGTGAGAGCCAGTGGTTGACGTTCAGATGGGACCAGAAGTGTCTGCTCAGGCTCTGGCCTTCCCTCCGACATTGCCCGGAGCACCCCTTCCTGCCCCAGCCCTGCCCCTGTCCTTTGCACATCCTCCCTGGCCTCCAGCCCCCGCCACAGGGCAGGCCATGGCTTTCCCTTCGCTCTACCTCCTTGCTTGGGCACCTTCAGAACCACAGGAGAGTGTTGTGACTGAGACATTTTAAGGACAGTGCAATAGAGATGAAAAGAGTCCTCCTTGAAGGTCTTGAATGTAATTTAATTCCAAAGATGCTAACCCATCCGTGATACACTTTTCAAAAGTTCCCTGGCCTCAAGCATAGGGACAGTCAACTCAAGACTTCAGCTTTGCATACCTTGTCATTTTGCAGGACATAAGTGATTTCAGATGGGTGCAGGTGAAGGGAGAAGGCAGGGATGGTCTGGGCAGAGTTAGAGGCCTCCCGCATCTTTCTTCAGCCCTGGCAGCAAACATGTTGATGGGGACCTGTTCCTCCAAGACATGGGGCTAAGAAGACACAGAGCATTTGGGCCTTCTTGCTGGACTCCGGGCCCTCATGGTGCGGTGTGGGGAGAGGGGATGTCTCACAGAGCGGCCAGGCTCGGGGTCTGTGCCAGTAAGAGCATTGTGGCTGGAGGCCTTCATGGAGGAAGGCCCCAGGGGCACCTGCCGCAGAGCCAAAGTGCGGGCGAAGTGAATGGAGAGGAAGGGCCAGTGTTGCAACAAGAAAGAGACAGCCTGAGCCAAAGTGGAGGCGCAGGTGTGCCTGGGGTGCTCTGGGTGGTTTGGACAGGGGAGATTTCATGGATGGGAATAGTGAGGGGTGGGACTGAAGGTGCCAAAGTTAGGGTTTGACCAGTTGAAGTTTCTGAGCTTCAAATTAGGAGGCTGGCAAACAGCAGTATTTGGGAGTGGTTACAGAATCAGGGACCATGGTGAAAAATATGCAGACTGCATGTGTGTTTGGTTTCTGCCCTGTCAATGATCTGCATGTAGTCTCAGGTCCCAACATCCCAAAATATACAGGCCACATGTAGATCATGTGCACCTGTTCAGAAAATGACGTGCCCAAAGCCTGGTCCCTGGCCCACTGGCCCAAAGGAATCCCTAGCGCTGGCAGAGAGCTTGGCTTCCGAATTCCCACCCACCTGGCAGAGCCTCAGGCTCCTTTCTTCCCCACCCACCCTCCCCCGCAAGGTCCCACCACCACAAGACACGCCCCGCCCCGCCACCCCACCAGCCATGGAGGTGAGTCCTCTAGCCCTTTGTCCTTACTTTCCAGGTGCAGGCACCAACCTCTCTGCACAGTGAGCAGGACTCGCTACTTCTTTCCACCTACTCGCAACAGCCAGGGACCCTGGGCTACCCCCCGCCGCCCCAGCCCTCACGCCCTCCCCGAAGGGTCAGCAGCCTCTCTGAGTCCTCGGGCCTCCAGCAGCCACCCCGGTAGAGTCCTGGCACCTCCGTCGGGTCACAATCAGCTTTAACCAATGGACGGACCATGGGGGTGGCCACAGGAACTGGGGAGAGGAGTTTAAACCCTTGGCTTTTGAGCGCACTGCATACATTTCAGAACTCCTGGATGGTAACCATCTCCAGAATGCAGTGGCTGGCCGTGGAAAATGATCAGAATACTGGCCGTGTTTCCCTAGCCTCTGTGTTTCTCGGGCACACTCTACAGCCATACTCGGATAGGAACCGAGTGCCCCACGAAAGCGTCATTACTCAGTTCACTTAGCAGACGGCACGTCTCGCCACGTCCTCCCCGAGAGCGCACTGGTCCCTCTAGCCGGCTGTGGTCCATCCACACTTGCTAGCTGGCCTTCACTCTCCTGATCCTCTTTCCTTTGCATTCGAGAAGCACTGGGTCAGAGATCTGTTGAAGAGAGAGAATAAAGAGATTATTTTTCATTATTTTTAAATGGTGGTTTTTGTTTTAATTTGCACAGCTGCACAGAGGAGATAACTTAGGCACTTTCAGGTTTTAAAAATAAGGAGGTCTTGTGACTTCACTTGGAGACCCAGGAACAAAAACAGCCCACCAATCAGATGGTCTTTGTTAACCAGGCCGCAGACCCACGCCCTCTGGTCTGAAACCTAATGGAAGAAGGCTCTTTCTGGTGGTTATTGTTTCCCCTAAATAAAACACTGGACTGTTCCTGTTTACTTCCTTGATTGCAACTACAAAGGCAGACTCAAAGCAAAGCACAATCATGCAGCTGATATTCCGGAATTCTGTCGGGAACTCCGAGACGGAATGGGAGGAAGAGGTATCCCAAGCCAGGCAGGCCCATGGAGCTCCAGGTCCCCGAGGAAATCCCAGCACGCGCCGGCCCCTTGAGTCAGAATGCTGCATCTTTCTACAGATCTTTCGTGAGAAGACCGAGGATTGGATTCTCCTTTTCAAAATGCACTTTGCTTTTTTTGTATGTTTTGTTATGTTGAGATGTTTCTAAAGAGAAGATTTTATGTAATTAAAAGACGAAGTGTAGTGAATTGTACAGCTGTTGTAATAATGACCTATTTCTATATAAAATAAAATTGTATGGATTATGTGTAAATTATTTTGTATCTGAGACACCAGTTCCTTTCCCAGATATAAAAGTATAAAAGTTTTCTTGTGTTTTTCTGTGAGTGGCCATTTTGTAATAAATTAACGAATTTGTACAATTTCCTCTGGAGGCAGTTTCTGTCCCTTGTTATCTATGCATGCATACATCTTTTCTTCATTGTTTAAATTTTTTTTTTTTAATTTCAAGATATTCCTAAGCGTAATCGCAAGCAATCAATGAACCAGGTAATGGCATTAGGTTTTTTTAAGCTGCAGCATGGGCACCAGCCCGTTAGGTTCCGGTGGAGATGACAGAGACATTCTGCATCAAGGCAGTCCCAGCCCATAATTAACCTCATCTGGGCTAGAGTTCATGGGCTCCCCCTGCCAGCACTTAGATTATGCGGGATGCTCGTGGGGCTCGTGTGTCTGTGTGTGAGAGGTGTGTACACACATCGTGTTGAGCAGGGGGAGATACAACAGCAGCATCTAGGAGGCTTCTGCCAACTACAGACATCCTGTCTTCCCCCCGAGACTTCGTCACCATGACATGAGGATGGAGAATCACTGAGATGGTGATGCTCAGCACAGCCCTTACCACAAATGTTGGTCCAAGAGAACGAAGTTCCTTCCCTTGGTCTGTCGCTACAGCTCTGTGCTTCACCTGCTTCCTGTGAAATAGGGATAGTGCCTCTGTCCTCTGACGAGGAGCAGTTTGGGATGGCACGAGAGGCTATACAGACAACAGAAAAGGAGTTCTACTGTTCACACAATTGTATTCCTAAAAAAAGGTAAGTCTAAATGTTTTGCATGCATTAGGATCATTTATTCTTTAAAGGACCAGAAATGAACCCTTTTATTTATTTATTTATTTATTTATTTATTTATTTATTTAACAGAGAGAGGGAGGGGGTGCAGTGGGAGAGGGAGAAAGAGAATCCCAAGCAGGCAGCGCAGAGCCTGACACGGGACTTGATCCCACAACCCTGAGATCATGACCTGAGCCGAAATCAAGAGTTGGATGCTCTAACCAACTGAGCCACCCAGGCACCCCATGAACCCTCTTTTTTAAAACAAAAAGTCTGGGGATGCCTGGCTGGCTTCGTCAGTGGAGCATGTGACTCTTGATTTTTGGGTCATGAGTTCGCGCCCCACATTGGGTGTGGAACCTACTTAAAATGAAATTAAAAATAAAAATGTAGAAGCTGCTTTTAGGCAAACAGGCTTGAGCAATGGAAAGTAGAAAGGGCCCACAGCGACCCCCTGGCTGAATACAGACAGGCCCAGCAGGTGACCCACCTCAAAATATCCAAAGGCCCTAAATAACCAATGGGCTACTTACCAAAAAAGGGAAAATTCCATACATCACCATACCTCCTCACCTTCCCTCTTTAGAAACAGCCCCCACCCACTACCTCATTGCAGACACCCTCTCCTTGCTGTCCTGCTTACTGCTCCCTTGCCGTGTATTCAATAAACATATCTCCTTTATTCTGTCTTGGGTGAAGCCTTTCACGGCCCATGCCACAGGCTTCCACACGATCATCGCCCCACATCTGGGGGCCCCCATCTGATCAGGAGACTCACCACATTTAGACACCACAAAAAAGTCTGTGTGAAACTAGATGAACCATTTTGTAATTGAACTGTTTTGTAAATTCAAAGGTTTATAAATCTGATCTTTCTGTATTTGAATTTTAGTTGGCTGTCAGAATCCTTCTAAGTAAAGCAAGATTTTTTAATGGAAACAGCATATTTATTGTCCTAGGAGTTTCTAGCTGGAAGCCATTGAAAGAGGGTGGAGTATAGCACGCTACTAATTTAATTCAGCATTGCTTAAATCTTATACATGTTGAGAATCTGGATAAACTCAGAAAACTCATTACTGTGCCACATTTCTTTAAACCCACATAACATCAGGGGAAGTTTAATCCCTAAGCTTTTGATTCATTTAATTTTGCTCATTAAAAAGTTGTTTTGCAACCCTGTCTTGTTTCCAGAAAAACCATGACCTTTGTCTTTGGAAAATTGTAAAGTCTTGGCTCATGAGAAGGGGCTGAAATGTGAACTCTGGAATACACAAGTTTTGGAATGCTGCTACTGAACACATCTTCCTTTAGCGCCTTCCTTCTGCACCACCACACCCCTTTCATCTCAAAAATCTTCCAGTGGCTTTTTTTAGGAAGTCCCATTGGACCATCCAGCTGAACCCAGCACAAATCTGCCCCAGAAGACCCTCCAGCACTTAGGGTTTGTTGCCCCCTCGAGACTGGGGTCTTCTTCCGTGCTGCCCACACAGAGCATTCAGATCCTGTCTCATTTTAAGGATTCCCTGGTAATCACTAAAAGTAAAAAGACATGGGAGAGAAGCCCAGCTAACAAATACTGAACACTTACAAAGGACACAAAGTTCACCTTAAAGGTTTTGGTCTGTGGGCGGCCAGCAGTAGACTGGCCTGACTCCTGAGGCTTGGCTGAGAAAAAGCTGGAAGAGCCCACAGAGCTAGACTGAAACATGAGAGCCCCAGCCAGGCTGATGAGTATCAGCGCCCTTCAAACCAAATGGTTTTTATTGTCTGTTTGACCTTTACTTAAAGCAGCACAGTTGAGAGCTGAAAGGGACGTTTTGTCGATTTCCACCTGGGGTGGGAGGGGGGCGGGGAATGTCTATTTGCTTGAAATTTCACAACTTTCAAGATACAAGAAGATCCTAAAATGTTTCCGAGAAAATAAAACATCACAAAGGGTGACATATGACATGGAGAATGCCTTCAAAACGCTGGGGAGAAATTATTTTCAACCTGAAATTCCATTCAAGTGAAAGTAGTAATGAATTTGAGGGTTGAATAAAAACCTTCAGATATGTGAGGGCTCAAAAACTTTAGCTCTTGGGCGCCTGGGTGGCTCAGTTGGTTAAGCGACTGCCTTTGGCTCAGGTCATGATCCTGGAGTCCCGGGATCGAGTCCCGCATCGGGCTCCCTG